CGTTTCCAGAGACTGTTGGGTAAACTGCCGTCCAAAAACCACAGCATATAAAGCCTTTGACTGAGGACATGCAGTTTGACTCTAAACATATTTACATGATTAGAAGGAAACTGTTTCTTTTTATCTGTCACTGCCTACATTTCAGTCATGAGCTCCTCTAAGTCACCTGTCTAGGACAAAAGCAGCAGTCAGCAAAAGTCAAAGAGAGCTGAAAACCAGGAGATAAAAATATCCAAACCAGAAAACTCCCATCTGGTGTAAACAAAACCTCATTTACGGCACGGCCTTCAGCACCTGCAGTCAATGTCACATCCACATCCTCAAGAGATGTCTCGTGGTTAGGATTCAGTTCAGTTTGGAGGCTGGTTACCGTAAGGACAAACGTGTCTCAGTTTCTTCCAATGGTGTGTGCGTGGTCACTGGTACTGGAGGTAGTTCTTGAGAGTCTGTGGCAGTGGGAGCGTGTCGATGTGATGGATGCGGTCTCTACCCAGAGCCAGTCGAGCTACTCGTCTGCACAGGTCCATGAGGGGGAGGGGCTCCGCTGTGAGAGACAAGACAGAGGAGAGACACGGTCAGCGTCCAAACGGCGATGATGAGCATCTGTGATCTCATTTGGCTTGTTTACACCTCATGCTGATTTATACACCCGAGTCCAAGCGCTGTGGCACCTGAGGCAGTGGACACGTGTCCGCCTCCTAAAAACATTTTTGGTGACAGTGGTGGTAGCTGGCAGTGAAGACCACGTGTAGCAGACTAAAGGCCAAGTGACCCTCTCATTTGTAGTAATACTTGACCGACTCACACATCATCATATATATTAAACCTATTCTCAGTTGAAACTCAACTCTTTATTCTTGTCAAATCTTGTTGCCTACATAACCCACAATGCAACCTGACAGCTTGATCTGAGATTCGGGTGCGTTATGCTAACAGCAGGTGGCACAGGGGTCTGCCTCGCTCACTTCTTTCCCTCTCCACACCAGAAGTTGATAAGCACATCACTTCACTTTAAACAGCCATGTGACCAGTCAGTGAAGTTCGTTAGTAGACAACACGGGCAAAAAACTCATTAGCACAACCTGCAGGTGGACTACTGGACAAAGACCAGTAGACGTTCCAACAGATAGTGAGCAGAGCGGGATGGGTTAGACAATTTTACCTTCTCTTTACAAACCAATTCATACACTCTAGGCCGTCGCAATACATTGAGAAAACAAAGTACAAATTGTATTGTACTGTATTTACAAACTGTAAATATCAGTCGGACACTACTAGCACTCACACTTGTAATGCTTTTACATGAGCCACTGGTGATAAAACAGATTTCTGTGGGTTCTATATATGGATAATTATAACTTGCAGTTACTGTGGGTAAATATCAGTGACCTCCTAAACCACAGGTTGTTAAATAAATGGATCGAGCGTTTCCAATTTGCTTTTTCAGTAGTAGATGTAATTCACTGCACACGCCACTAATTACACTGCCATCACTTAGAAAGAGAAGCAGAAGCTAACAATATTAAAACACTCATACTACGTGGCATCTTCCCTCCCACCGATTTGGGAGGCAAGTGGTGTCTGTGTGTCGACAGACTCTTAACGGCTGCCCCTTTACGGATGTCAAGCTGCTCCACCTGGAAGCACCATCTGGTGGAGCAGAATTCACACTGTGTGAAGGACATCATAGATGCACACATACATGCAACACACACCAGATGACAGGGTAACACCTGAGTACAGCTCCTCTTCAGTATCAGTGTGTTCACACAGAGTTATCTTTTAAAATTCATTTTATTACTGCATTCATTTTTTATACTGATTCCATCAATAGTCGGTAAAATAAACTTTTGCTAGAACACATGAAATGGTTGTTTAAAACAAAAACACACCTTACACATTAACAAGCACACACACACACACATGCACCAATCCAAACAAGCCTCCTCTCTTAATGATTGAACCGTTTCTCTCTGCAGTCTATTAAAAGCGCACCACACCACCACAAACCAAAGCCTCCAACTAGCAAACGTGAAGCAAACGCGTAGTGTTTAGTGTGCGTGTTCATGGAGCTGAAGCAGACCGAGGTTATCAAGAGACCTCAGGCATTCCCCTCTGGGGATGAATGAGCTGCTGGCCTTGTGGCTACATGACCACTGATGGTTAACACACAAACAGATAAAGGGGAAACAGGAGTTTGTCTGAAGTGAGGACTGAACCAGATAAACACTGAACTTACGTCAAGATGCTAATTAAAAACAGATCACTGGAGAAAACTGGACTTGATGTCTCTACTAGGAACAGTGCTGAACATTCTAGTAGTAAATGTGTTTAGAAAATCCCCATGTCTTGCTTCATGACATTTGCAGGACCGTCTCACTGAATTGCTATGTTGTGATCTTGTAAGTGACCTTTGAAAAAGCAGCGAGGGGAAACACTGAAATTCACCACTGAACAACAGCTGACAGGATGCAGAGAATAGAGTACAGCTAGTCGGATTTATCTGACTGCTATGTGCTTAATGAAAAGCCTTTATAAGAGTACCATAGGGACATGTGGCAGAGTGTGGATTCACTTGTAGCCATATCAAAACGGTAAGTGCACCAAAGCGGAAAGGCGCGTTGAATAAACTCTGAATGCAGACAGTGTGCAGCGATGTGTGTAGCGAGACTGTACAGCTGATGATTCTTTACAACAGCTGGAGAAATACTTGGCAGGACAATTCAATCCTCCAACAGCTTTATACCCTCTGTCTGCAGAGGTAAGCCCACTGCTTCAGCACATCAGCTTAAAAGGATAGAAACTAAGACTAATACAACTGGTAGTACAAGCACATCTCCATTCACCTCGAAACGTGCGAGCGTCAGAACTCAAATGAAGCCTTTGCAGTGTGACGAACCCCAAGAGATGAATGGACATTGTGTATGGCCTAACTGCAGCTATCGGTCTACACTCACCGGCACAGCCCTTACATATAGGTAGTTTCCATAGTAACAAGCTGCTCACACCACCTCTGCGTGATGTCACTGTACTGAATATATAATAAAAATCTTCTTCAAGAGAAATTCCACTATATTAAACCCTAAACTGGCCCTTCTTTATTTCAGCGTTGCCTATTTACAGCACCGAACTTAAAAAAGGAAGCATATTGCCACCCCTGTATTCTGTGTAAGCTTGATTTATGGTGCTGCATCGAGTCTATGTCGCAGGTACAATGTAGGAAAGGCGTAGCCTTGTACCCTATGCCTGACGTGCACATCTCCAGAAATGCAACCACATGCTGCGGCAATGCAGACCGCAATAACTGTGATTGATTGCATTTTCTTGTTCATGTCTCTCAGTGGCTCTGCTTCAGTTGGTTCAATGGGCATACAGACCATCTCCTCCAGTGTCCTCTCTTTTATCTGCGGTGCATTAATTCAGTAAAAGTAACTGCTGGTCAACATCTATTACAGGCCTGGGCAATTAATTTTTACAAGGGGCCACATGAGAAACCTGAACTGTGTTGGAGGGCCAAACCAACGATAACTTGAACTTAATTCTGCTCAATATTCATTATCTCCCGTTGTAAAAAGCAGTAAATTATATGTGTTGATTAGCTGCTACTGGTAATCAGAAGAATAAGTATATTCTGTAAATATTTATATAAATATATGAAATTGTGGGGTCGGTCAAACAGGAAAAATACTCCTATAGAAGTAATAAACAGTAAAAACAAACATTAGATCACAGTTCCATGTTTTCAACTTCACATAACACTGAAAAGGGTGTTTGGCAGTATGGTAAAGATATTCATTTTCAGTTCATTTTACTTGTTCAGTGAGAGAAATCCAGTCTGGCTTGGGCTTGAACACGTGCATTGAAATCTGGATTTGTTGAACTTCATCACTCAGAATGTCTGTTCACATATGTAAGTAGATCCAAAGATTTCCTGCGATGTCCTCAACCCTCCTCGTTACAGTGCGTCGGGAGAGGATGTTCTCATATGCGCCCTTTTTCTCCGGGTATATTAGTGCTGCAGAGTCCAACAAACACTCTTTAATAAACTCTCCATCAGAAAACGGCTTATTTTTTTCTGGCGATTTTGTGGGATATGACATAACTTGTCCTGAAAGCTGCATCTCTGTGTTTGGAAAGTAGTGTAAAAAGTCTTTGTTGGTTATGCAGTGTCACTAGCAAAGCATCCGACTCTCTTGCTCGCTCTTCATCTGACAAGTTCTTGTATTTCTCCTCATGTTTGGTCACGTAGTGGCGATTCAAACTGTAATCCTTGAACACAGCAACCTGTGTATAAGCACACCGCTTTACTTTTGAATTCTGTAAACAAATACTTTCCAGTCCATGTCTTGTTGAAAACGCGGCATTCGGCATCAACTTTTCTTTTTTTGGCACAAGTTGACATTTTGAGGGTTCGCTGGCCAACATCACCTGTCTCTCACCCGGTAGGTCGGGGATCTTAAGTTCACCTGTAAACGTTTTTCATTCATGCTCTGATTTGATGGACCTCACGTGGGCCGGACAAGGACGCCCAAAGGGCCGGATGTGGCCCACAGGGCGTAAAATGCCCAGGTCTGATCTATTAGCTTTAACTCTTAACATGACTCGCTGTTTGTATCATTTGTTACCAAGTGGTGAAGAAAGGCAGCACAGAGAACCCCCACCACCAACTAGTGTTTTGGCAGGGTAATTACCAACAGACCCTCTGTCAGCTTGGTACCTTTTATGCAGTGTAGCAGCAAATTGCCATAATAGTCCCACCTTGAACAGGTAACGTAAAAGGAACTACAGATGTGCATGGGTTACATGCACTTCGTATTTAGACGTACAGACTGTGTTGCCAATTTAAAATGTTCAACCAAATGCTAAATTTTTGTACAAAATAAAAACATGGACACCTATGAGGATAAAAGCCGGCTGTGACTTTAGAATACGTTCTAGTGCCACAGATGATCACAAAACAAAGACTGTACATTCCATGAAATTACAGTTAAAATAACTGCATGAGTTGGAGTAGGTTTATTCAAAAAATGTCTCATTAAGCCAAAAAATTAAGAAAAAATTCCCTTAACATTTGCCAACTGTGAGCTGTGTTGGCATTCTCAGAGAAGTACTTTCTTTAGCTTCCATCTGGCATTCTTCTTCAGGAGAGAGCATATTTGTTGTACATTTACATCAACCAGCCTCCATACTGCATCTGTTTTCTCCTCCAGTGTTGTACCCTTTCAAGTCACTGTACCTGCCCGTATCACCAGTATGAGGAATAAAAAAAAAAAAAGTGAATTTTCAGTTAAAAGGTGCCACATTTTCATTTTATCACACGTGAAACGACTGCTTGCAGTAACAATGGTGACACTACTAAAAACCACAGCACTGCTTTCTCACAGGGCTTTCCTGAAGTGATGATGCAACGATTCTACGTTGTTCTTGCTGAAAAGCAGCCTATACCTGAACAAGCTGGTCTCCATTGTAAAAAAAAATAACCAGGGGCAACAAGTGATGCTGTCAGACAGTGGTGATGAGAACAGGAGATATGCAGGCCATCAA